AACTCGCTATAAGATTCAAACAACGGGTTAATTACATCACGCATGAAACGTAGCGCTTTTCGAGATCTTTCCAAAAAGCAGTTTCAGCCTCAGACTTCTCATGATTATGCTATCGAATTACTGCTGAGAGTCTAGCGAAAAGCCATCCACAGACCCTAGCGGAGGGAATATATCATCCGAGTGTAGAACATAATTTTATTTTCACTGCTACATCGCACTAAGAGGGCTTTCTGAGAAACCAAGCAATCATTATTTTCCAAGTTATCGGATAGCCACCAAAAGTCTAATAAAGTTTTGTATTCATTGAAAAAAGCATCTAAATACGTGTTCGTCAAATATGACATACACCGTGCTGAATCGATGTGATTTCCTTTAAATTCCCGAGAACGCTTTGTTTTCAGCTACTCAGGTCTTCATCACAGCTTGTACTTGGCCCTGGAATCGGAAGAAGGTCTCTGTCTAATGACTAAGATTCTCAACAACGATAGTGATTGGGCGCGATTAGTGAACCAATCGACTAAACCTTCCAACAGGTCGTTTCTCGAAATAAGAGGGAGACCTGCACGCATTGATTTCAATGCTACATACCGAGAATAGTGGTGTCTTTGAGGCTTAGACAAGATTATCTTGGTTCATAAAACACTCCATTGATTGAAATACCAGCAGTTGAATTCTTCAGAAGTTTCTACACTGCGGTGATTTCATTTTGATTCTCAGAAACTCAAAAGCACTTTTTCCGGTGCGGGTGCATGTCATTCGAACAACGAAGCGATTGTTCAAACGGAATTTTGTTTCAAGTGGCAATATTTTCTCCAGTGAAACGTTGAAATTTATCCATTTTTTTCATTTGAGGTCGAAGAGAATTGGAATGTAAAAAGTATTTCGGAGTAGCCACAACTATTCTCAGAGCGATAGAACAATGCTTCTTCTATGAGGACATCGAATTTGAAGTGTCTGATTATCCTATTAATCAAACAGCTTTCGGTGCTTATCGTAGAACCAGTAGTGTTTCTATGTAATAGATTACAAGGGATGATGTAGCGCAGTTATTAGTGGTGTAGATAATTAGGCATCAGTTGCTTAGGTGGCTTGGTTTACCCTTTTTTCAAATTCTTCTTACTATCTACGTGAGAACACTTGTACTTAGGAAAGTGGTGTCTCATAAAGGGTAAAGGAGAAAGCCTTTGGGACAGCTCAATTTCTGCTGAGAGCGCTGGAAATTCGACTTTATTCGTTGAATCGTAGAAACGATTGTATGTATAGCTAGCCTATATTCCTGTCGGCCTACCAATGAATTCCGTTAGGGTATTCATCCTCTTAGACAAGTCGAATTGCAATTTTTGGATTTTGGAAGGGTGGGCGACTTGCTTTGTCTACACAACAGCATCGAATCAGCGGCTGCATGTAAATCGCTGGTCACCATTAACTAACTATACGTGCGCTCATAAATCATGCATTTCAAAAACATCTCGTAGTGTTAGTCAATCTTAGGAAGAAACGAACACTTTCAATCTGGAAAAAATGTGCGAACAGAAAAAATTAATTCACTCGCGAGCGCGATAGAGAACTAGACCTTTTCTGAAGAAGAACTGAACCATCAACGGTGTGCTCGTGAACAGCGCTAGCACTACTCGCTCAGTGCTCATAGAAAATGATTCCTAATATTTTTAGCAAAGTAAAACGTTTTTTACAGTACAAAACGATCCTTGGCTATTATCTACTCGGCGATTTGGGCTGTTATCTCTGCCTCGTCATTGTAATTATACTGTTCTTCACCACGGACATCTCTAAAATACCACTACAAATCTTCTTCTGGGTAAGATCTTGAAGATTCTGTAAGCCTGATAGAGGACTATATAAAAAATCCATGAAATTTGATGATTTTTTGACACCGTAGTGAAACATGCAAATAATAATCCATTTAATTCTTCGTCTTGAGCTATGTGACTATCTGGCAATGAAGAGCACTGATGTTTCAAAGTAATAAAGTGCGAGTTACAATTAAGTTCAAGAAATGGCTGGTAAGAGAAGCAAAAAATAAGAGCTCAAGACTTTAATGATCTACAACAACGAGTAATCTCTCCTTCAATGAAACAATGGCACGCTCTTCTGATGAGTATCAATGAAAAATAAAGAACATTCTTCGTCTTATGGAAGCTTACACAAGGTTTCCATGGATCTTAATACGTTTCGGCGATTTCGCCGTCATAAGAGTTATGACGAGAAGAGGTACAGACATTTTTGAATACGTGCATGTCCACGTATTTACGCATCAAACTGTTTACTGAATCCTCAGTCCTTGGTTCTAAAAGGTCTTATATGGTTTGTCGACATTTATCACAGTTAGTTGTCAATTTATTAATCCATGAATTTCTGCAATATTCAGACAGATAGGTTTGTTTCCGTGCACACTGCTGATTTTGTGGTGTCATCCTTTTCTGTATATTGAACTCTTCTGAGCTAAGTCGCATTTCTTAGCTACTGTTGTAGATATCGGTTTTCAAATGAGCATTATGTTTATGAGGAAACCGTCGTGAGAAGAATTGCTTTTTTCGTGCACTCATTGCAAGATCTTTCAGATTATTTTCAGATAATTTTCTGCATTGGCGTGCTGTATTGTATTTGTGAAGTTCATATTTTCACCTTTATTCTTCTTCCGTACTCGTCAGTGCTGCCAAATTCAACTGAACAGGTGGGTCATAACTTGCGCTCTTTCTTAGATTATCATTGATATAATGACTGCGTGAACAATGCTGTTTGCTTATACGACAAGAATACGCTAAAAATTCACCAGTTCACTTCTTTCGAGGGAACATAAGCTGAATTTCGATGCTATTACATTTTGTGAACAATTATTAATAGTTCGACTACTAGCATTTATGGGTTCTTTTCTGTTATCTTGCTACAAATGACAAAACGATTCCTTTTGCTGGACAGAGATTTTCCAATGCACTTTTAGTAATCATTCAAAATCTTGATAATCCGGCTAATGCGCTACGTTGCAGCTTCTGAAACAGTCTTTTTTATAACGCTACAACATGAAAAACATTCGTGTTCCACATGCGCACATTTATCGCAGGATAGAGCTCTTTCTTCAACTTATCAGTAGCCATTTGATAGCTTAAGTTTCGACGATTCCAACTGTATGCTCATTTCCTAAAAATGTAGCTTCATTGCAATGTAGCAGAGAAAAAATATTGAGTTTCACATACACGGGCGTTTCTTTTCGCCTAGTATGGGCTGGAGCCTAAGCACGAAGGGAGGGGTGAGAGGTTGCTGACCGTCGATTCCATATGGCGACGGATTGATCGCGTTGACGCGTTACAGATGTCGAGTGCAAATTTTCTATATAACTCGAAATTTTTTCACCGTTTTGAAAGGAACTCCAAACGAAACGTTTGACTTGACACTGAAAGATTTTCTCTACACGATCACATGCCTTTCGTGCTTCCAGCATAGTAGCAGTGGAGATGTGCACCAGGTGTAAAACATAATTCTATCTCGAATGTTACAGCGTTATAAAGAGGTCTTTTCGAAAAGAGAGCAAATAACGTAGTGGCCAGAGATTCAAGCTTTCGAGTGATTATTGATGCTATTATGAGAAACTTTTGTCAACCCGAAGGGTCGTCTCATCGTTTGTCGCCAAATAAGAGAAAAAAACGCTTTTATGCTTGCAATCTAGCGCTGAGCACCACGCCACCATAATTTACTTTTTACGCAAGAATGTCTTCTCTTTTCATCAGCCACTTGCGACAACTGACTTGTTGCAGAGCAGTGTCATATTGCTATATATGATAGATCTATTGGGTGGTTCTCTCTGTCTGTTCAACGCATCTAAAAAGTAGTTTTGAAGGTGCTGTGATTGTCAGTACACCTACAGTAGAAAGGATGCAATATTCAAAGCTGTCGCTTCAACTTCAAATGGAACCTGAAACTGATCGCGCAATTCTCTTTTGTTTCATTTTACTGAGGGCCATTATGGCATTCCTAAGGTGAAGAAAAGGTGAAACTCTAGATCTGCAACAAATGCAGTTCTGAACAAACCGATAAGAAAAAGATCACAAAGTTATTCCTTTTTAAAGGACTGTGACTGAGATTTTTACTACAATTGTAAGTTTTCTGTGATTTGGCATCATATCTCGTCGTCTTCTATGATATTCTCACCTTCAAATTAAAAGGCGTATTTAATTCAAAGCACGCATGACGTCAGACGGTTACAGTATCCGGCGGCAATTATACGTTGCTCAATCAGATTCCTATACCGGGAAAAAAAGCTGACAAATGAGATACCGTGACTAATTCTCTAGATTTTGTCGCGGAAAAGGAAAAAAGACTGGTCATGGAAGTCCTAGGGTGTACTAGTTTTTCTGCGACATGTCTGAGATGCTAAAATCTACGCTCATTTTTTGCTCATTTTATTAGGTTGAGGATAAAGGTTCTAACAATTCATCGAACTTTTTTGCTTAGTCTTCTTTGTGATGCTTGTGTTTGGCATTGTCCTGCTAAAACAGCGCGTGCTTTCGACGTATTGTCTAGCTATATGAGTAAAACTAGTAACTAGCATTGCCGTGAGTGTTTCTCATGAAAATAATCCTGATGCAATCAATCAGAATTCATTTTATTTGACCGCGTATTGTGGTGTTATAATGCCCCAATAAACCCAATAATGTAGAGTAGTGTGCAAAAGCATTTGCGTCAGCCGGGATTCCAAACCAGATCTCACTCTTTCTGGAAGCGTGTGCTAAACCGTTGCACTACCGACGCTCGTTTTACATTCCACTCTCTCTACACTAAATGAAATGAATTCTGATTGATTATTGAAACCCAATATCTGTCAGCATAAGTTGAACATCATAACACCGCCGATTGCGGTGTTATGATGTTCAAATAAACCCAGTGAAGTAGAGTGGTTCAATGTTGATAGTGACTGCCCCGCCAGGCCGTAGACAGGTGGCTGTTGACAGATAACGCGTTGCAGCGTAGAAAGAGTGGAGTGACGAGCGTCGGTGGTGCAACGGTTCAGCACGCACTTCCGGAAAGGGTGGGATCTAGGTTCAAATCCCGGCTGACGCAGATGTTTTGCACACCACTCTACATTGTTGAGTCTGTTCCTGAGGTAATTCCATGAATCTGCAATAACCGATGGTGTGTGGAATAAACATGATATTTGATCTTTTCGCAGGTGTTAAATAACTTTTTATTTAAGCTAATAACTCACATCAAAATTTCCGATAATAATATCGTTGAGCAATGCCCAATGGACAAAACTTACTAAGCGCTAGAAAAATTCAGTGCTTTGACTACGTCATGGTCATTTAATTTGTACCAAACATGCCAAAGAAAGGTTTTTCCGCTGTTCTAAAGAAGAGAACCCAAGGCCTTTTATGCGAACACCTTGGACGCTCTTGCGATCTATGCCTAGATTACAGTGGGAATTAACTCTGTTATCATTCAAGATATAGATGAGGGTATGCTCGGTAGTCAAGCCAACACTCAAATTCTACGACCTTTTTGGATGATGGATCCAAGAAAGCAATACGAAAAAATTAAGTGTGTTTGTGTGCGCACAATATGTGAAGTCACACCATATCAATAAAATGAATGAACAAATGTAGGAAATAGTTAGATCTAGGTTAAGACCAATTTTGCGAGAACTTAGAAAGTGGATCATACGTCTTTCAATTGAGCAACTCCTGTAGTTGTCTGTGTGTCATTTTTCCTTGACGTTGACGTGACGTTCATTGGAATTACCTACTTCGATCGAATTCTGAAAGAACGCAATGTTACAGATAATTTTCAAATTTCCTGTAAGAAATATAATTCTCTATACTCCCTAGTAAATGCGTTTCATTGCCGAAAATCGATGTCGCAGTGTAAAGAATATTTGCATTTGTGCATGTGCATTTCACCTGTAATCATGTCGTTTTTGTTGAAGTTGGTTGAAAAGACCATTTGAGTTGTAGGAGCTGCAACCTTTTTGAAAGTTTACACAATCATAATACTGGATTTTGAAGTAGGAAACCTCTGAGAATGCGGTGGGAGCAGAATTAAAAAATTAGGCATCAATTATTTGATATACCTTCCACTATGTAACTACTGAATTTCAGCTGTTGAACCATGCAATTCCATACAATCCCGGAGGGTTGATGCAGATGGAACAACGTTTGGGTTGTACCTTTGACCACAACCTCTACGCTGCCAATAAACGACGCCTCAATCCAAGGGCACGTAATTTATTTATATTTGCTCACACGTTCACTGGTTTGTACTGAGTGTTTATTGCAGAAGAAGGCTCATAAAATTTTATAAAAATGTTTTGCTATAATGAGGCGCCTCCGCCAAGTGGTCGTGATGTTAATCGAGGCGCGCGTGGAGCCGAGCTTCCCCCATCACACTCTCCGGCAGTCAACAACGAACGCCTTATGGAACGCCACGGCCAGGCTATCCTCGAGATTGCAATGGGACTCGCTCAACTAGTATTGCACGACGTTCAAGAAGAAGGCAAAAAATGATTGAATGCTAGAAATAATGGGATCGGCACAGTGAATAGAAACACTATGAAAACGGAGCGATAAAAAGTCCAGAAGTTTGCTATAATTTGTCCATTATGAGAAGTCTTCATTGCTATGGGGCTAATAAGAGGTTTCCTACATAGAGAGGGGCAGATGATTATCGGTTTCACTATGATCGTGCACTAGCTCTTTGTTGCATCGTTTTTTTCCTCGATAGGCATTTCTTTTAGATGATGCAGGAAATACCACATTCTATTACTTAATATTCATAAGCTCGACAACACTCAGTAAACTGTCCTTTCAGAACACATGTGATCCGCAAATTGAGTCGTCGTTCATCCAACACTTCGTACTCATCTCACTGCTCGTCCTCCGCTTGCTGCCGATTGTTTTTGGCATTCTTCTGTTGGCCAAACGCACTCCACTCAGCGAGTCCATCGCTGTCTTCGTCGAGAAGCTTCGCCCTGCACAAGACGGAAACAGGTGAATTGTGACGAACCTACGGAGTAACACAAACTTGGAATGCTCAAGAGTAGGCGGTGTATATCACAGCTATATCAGCACTCTTGGCTTCACTGTATAAATGACTTGATTATTTTTCTAGTTTCTATTGTGTTTACATTTCACATCGTATTATGCGTATTCTACCATTTCTCGCTTCATACGATTCCTTCGCATTCACTTCCTGGGAACTGGTTTGCTTCTTCGATTCTTCCTGTGATTCTGATATAGCGTGGGTACACGTGGATTAGAGGGAATGAGCTAGTTGCCCCGGGATATATGGGAAACTCAGAAACCCGCGGCTCGGTAAACCAACACCTGGGTCAGCTAGAGCACTTTTCTAGGTTAGCCCCAATTGCCTTCTAACAAGGACAAAAACATTCCACGTCAATAAGTTGACTCTGCTGCAGATTCTTCGTAGAATTGGCCTCCATATCATGGCCTCTACTCACTACACGAAAAGGAGTGAGCTACACTGATTGTTTGACTTAAGCTGATAATAGTACTTGATCATTTTTAGTTCATAATTAAGAGGGCTTGCTAGTTCTGCTAAGCAGGTGGTAAACAAAAAAGGTAGTATACATGGCTGCAGTGACATTAGCAATATACTTCTTCAAAACTAAATTCCCTAAGAACATGAATCAATGGTTTCTTAATGATCCCTGCTTCACTCAATTAATTATCACAAGAGAAATAATCGAACTTCAGCCGTTCATTATTGACAATAACTAGCATTACCTTCATTGTAATAAAGCTTGACAGGAGTAGCTGAACTTCTACCGTGACTATAAGGTCATAGACAATTTTTGTGTTTAACAAAGCTTGTTTGAAAAGAAAAACCCTTCAAAACTCTTCAACAGTAAAAAATCCCGTTACTGGTTCTTGGAATGGAAGTTTCAGTGAACATATTACAGACTTTATATAAAGAAGGAGCAGCAGGATCCGCAAAATATTGAGAAGAAAACGCCACAATTAACGCAACCTCCACGGTGAGTTGCTTCTCAGTGTTTTTTGCGACGATGAACATGGTCAGCTATTGCCCAACTATTAGCAGCAACATTTAGCGCTGGTGGAACTCCTTTGCCTCCAATACCATCACCCACACAAATCGATCACAGTATTAGGTAAATTTGGGGCTATGCACGTGTAGCTAACACAACTCGCTGAATTACAACCTGACTTATATAATATAGTGAATGAAACTCAAAGATAGATGACAATAGATAGATATCACAACGAGTAGAGTATGTTGCTGACATTCGATTGTATGCGTGTGCATTCCTAAGAATAAGCCTAGCTGGAGCAAAGATTATTCCTTTCCATCTGAAAAGCAGTAAGACTCTTAGTCAATGACTGAAAATCTTCAAGAATCACTTTTATAATCAAACATCACTGTCTTTTTGACATACTTACGTGGACACCGGAGAATAATTTAGCCGTTTTTTTGTGATTACTGGGTCTTCTCATAAATTTGGCACCAGAGCAGTAAACACTGGATCTATTAATCAGAGATTTAATTGGAATTGCTTAACAACATTATTCAAAAAGGTGCCATCAACCTGACACATTTCTGACATCTCTCAGACAACAGATCCGTATAGTCTTGTGAAGAATTTTCGTGGACTTTCTTTTGCTACCAAATCTGTCTATATCTGCCGTAGCATGCCACTCAATGAAGCCTTTTGTGCAATTTGCTATTATACGAGTATGAATTGGGACTGATGCACAAATCGCCTTCGAGAACATCAACCGTGTTGAGATGCAAGGATCTGTGTCCAGACGAACAGCGTTTCTGTTCTTTGCAAAATTTCGCGTTGGCAGTACCAACCTGAAGAATCATCTGCACTTCGGTCGTCCACGAGAAGCTGATCGAGAGGCCGTCATCGAAGCAACTGAAGAGAATTGCGACTTCACTATGGAGGTGTTGTTCGGCAATTCTGACTGTGGTTATGCGACAATCAGCAGACTATTGGGGGCAGCAGACAAGAAGTAGAAAAAGGGTTGGTGGTCCACAAAGCTGCATCACACCAAGCTGACAAAAAGTTATCATTAGTTGATCGAAGTGGACTGGGAGTTGATGAATCATCCGCCGTACAGTCCTGACTTGTGACCGTTTGACTACCACCCCTTCGGGGCGCTGGTGCACTTACCGGGCAAGAAGAAGTTCCGAGACATCAGTCATTTGCGTAGAGGATTGACAACTTTCTTTGAAGCCAGAGATGGCAAGTTCCATGGGCGCGGTATTAATTTGTTGCATGAGAGATGGCAGAAAAATGTTCAGACTGATGGCACATGAATGGTGTTTGTCAAGCATTCAATTACTTCCTGATTGATAAATTTCGGTGTTTATTGCTCTAGTGCAAAACTCATTTGAGGACCTGATAATATGCACGTTTTGCACAATCACTAAGACCTACAGCTTTCACTTTTACTGTAGGAGCACAAGATTTAGTGCAATGCATTTGTAACGCTTTTACGCTTGGCTTTACAAAAACTTGCAACGGAGCATTATCCTATCGACATTACTTATTTTGCTTTTCTTCAGTTACAATAATGCAGCTTACTTTTCAACATGTGGAGCGATCGGAGTGGATTCATCAAGAAGTAGTGAAATATCACGAGTAGAAGCCGGAGAATTGTTTAGGTAAACAGAGTCATAATCACTAATACACACCTGAATAGCAGCTTGTCCAGTTGTTGACTGAGAAATTACCAATACTAAGCTAGTGATATTTGGTAGGTGCTATCTATTGAAGGTTGAAGGACAAGGCGTTTGACGTCCCTCAATCCCCAAAGGATGCGCCATAAAGTTGATTTCAATTCTCGTTAGAGGAGACTGAACACAAAGTTGGCCTGTGCAACGACTTACGGTGGTCTACCGATATATCAGATCAGTACTGCTATTTTCCTAGACACCTTTAGTATCAACTGTACCGACTCCGAAGAGATGGAGACGTTGGTAAGATAGTGGTGAGGTGCTGAGCCACTGCCCATTCGGTGTATAATGCGAAGCACCTCTAATCCATTATATTTAGAGATGATGGTCTCAGTGGGAGAACA